TTCTAAATGGAAGTAGGTAGACTAGAATGGCGAGAAGAGCTTATGCTTATGCTTTGTCTTTTGGAGCCTTTCTCGTTATCTGTCTTTAGTTCTTCTGAAGATACCTGACTTTGTAAGGCAAGGTACTATACCCTCTCTTTAATCTTCAGTATGCATCGAAGTCAGAGTCATTTAACGCTGTTACCCGTCTTTTTTGGTCCTTCATTACGACAGAGTCTCTGACGATAAACAACACTTTTCTGGTCAAAGGAGATTATAGATGTGGCCTTTGAGAGGCATACTTCATTTCATCGTTGACAGCTTTCATATTCATAGTCATTTTTGCTTCATTTTTGTGTGGGGTGAAATGCACACTCATTCTGTTGAGATACATAACTGAAGCTGCATCTCAACCGAAATATTGACGTTTATTTAGCACCTGATACAGTTCGAAGATATCCAGTAATTCATACTGGCGATATTGCTTGAGAAAATATTTCAATATCAGTTCTCAATTACAGAGAGTTATTCAATGAATTACTACCCTCATTACAGTCCCGCTCAACCTCAAAAAACGTTCGTCGATTATAATCCCGGTTGAGGACTTGTCAATTTGTCGTTTTTCTGTGGTTATGCCGGTTCTTCCATGAAGAGGTCACCCAAACCTACTCTTATGCTTCAACCATCGATTCCAGCTAATAATTCTGAACCGACTTCCACTGTGTTTGACCTTGAAACGTATTGATTTACTCAAATAATAAATACTTTAAGCATTTATTGTCTGATCGATCGGTGGCATCACTCTACTTAATCCTTGTGAAAGATCAACAACTTTTTTTTAGTTTAACTTCTAGTGAATCGTGTTCACGGGTTAACCATTTAATCTCAAATTGCGCAGCACTTTATGAATTATCAGAGAGCTCTGCGCTTTGTTCGCAAACTATTTGATATGATGCTTTTACTCTTCATAACTTTCTCATAACCACAGTGATTATAATAAAGCATGGTTTATTTTTCGAATTATCGCTCCAATTAGTCGCCTTTTTATTCAACGCATTTTTGGACATCCTTTGTTAAGACAAATGAAAATATGAATGTAAAAGTTCGGAAAATTTATTACATCAATTTTTCGGCTTTCATTGTTGAGCAAACATGAAGAACGCCGTTTGTTTGCTGTTCTTTGACAGATGGACTTTTGCTTAGTCTATCTTGCTTAATGCTCGTCGTTCTCGTAGTTCGCTGGTTAGATGATATGATGAAAAGATATGGCTATGCTTTCATCAGAAATAAGTTTGAACGGTGACTCCCAATTCTTCCATCAGGGTTTATGGCCAGAACGTTGTTCTGTTGGACAGATCTCTCTGCGAGCATAGAAGTTCTGTTTTCCGAATTACCAGGGCTTTTAAGTAGAGTGCTTAGGGATTCATTACGGCTTTGAATCAATCGCCGCTGTTCAATTATTTACGCGTGATCGCAGTTTCATATATCCGGCGGCCTCGTATTTTATCATTGCAATCATTATGGTTTTTGCCCTTCTCTGCGACGGAGACGCTAGAGGTGGATCATTAAGAGCTAATTATTATGACCTACTCGGCAAGACTGAGTTCCATCTAGTTTATCTAACTGGTACATTCATTTACATTCTGCGCCATGAATGCTATATTAGCACTATTCTTCTTGTTTGAATAGTTTCCATCGAACGGCATTAAAATATTTAATAAATTTTTTGAAGTATAGCCAGAACACAATGGTTTTCCTCTCGGCGGAAGAATGAGTGAAGTAATCA